TGGTGGTGGATGGTGGATTTTCTTATTTTTATTTCTATCTTGGTAGTAACATTCTGATAAACAGTAGTATAAAACACTGTCAGAACAAAGAACAAAGACTTTAAATATACAGGGGCTCTCAAAAGTATATTAGAGATGGGGCGCCTGGGTGGCTTAGTCGGTTAAGTGTCCGACTTTCGCTTAGGTCATGATCTCGCGGTTCGTGGGTTCGGGCCCCGCGTCGGGCTCTGTGCTGACTGGCAGCTCAGAGCCTGGAGCCTGTTTCAGTCTGTGCCTCCCTCTCTCTCTGACCCTCCCCTGCTCACGCTGTCTCTCTCTCACCTAGAAAAAAAAAAAAAAAAAAAACTTAAAAAAAAAATTAAAAAAAAAAAAGTATATTAGAGTTAATGTCACCCACTGAAGCACCAAGACTAACGCTGGATCCATTACGTAACTTTTTCCATTTTTGGTAAATTATGCACTGACGTCTATACTTCAAGTATCTCCTTTGGTTTTGAAACCCATGTGATGTCAGAGAACACAACTTAAGATAACAATATTATTTACTCAGAAAAGTAAACAAGTGCCCATGATTTTCCACATTTATTTTAATCATGTGGATCAAGTCATTCAAAGTTCCCCTATTGTTTTTAGTTAATCAGGCTACTTTTATAAATTCACTCTATATATTGCTTCAATATTAACAAAAGAGATATTCCATAGGTAGTTTAAAACATTTTAATATCTAAATAATAGAAAGATCTTAAATCACTTTTTCAAGTGGTTAAGAATCCTAGTCACAATTAACTGAGGTTCTTGAATCTCCATAACAGGCTCTTCACAGTGCTGTATGATAGGAAAGATCTTCAACACTCGATCCACATTTGCTTACCAAAGAACTTAGAGAATGTGTGGAAAGGCATAGTCAAAACATTAAATCATATCTAAAAATAAAGGTATGTAGTTGAGATTATAGGAGAAAATATGTCACTAAAAGGAGACATGAGTCTCATGGGAGATTCTCTGAGCAGAAAAGGGGAAAGACAGAGAGAGGCTCAAGGCATCTGGTAATGGGCCAAATCAGAAAAAGGAAAGAAGGTGAGTACCTTGGAGTCAAATTACCCCATGGTGGTCCCCTGGGGCTGCAAACATAGCAGATCCTAAACCAAACATCCGGGGGACACCTGGTGATGGCACAGAGATAACAGTACTGGGAAGGGACATCTGTCCTCCATCAAGGCTTGGGATAGTCAAGATGTGAGGATTATTGCCTGAGAAAAGATCTACTTTGTTCAAACTGTAGCCAAAGTGGACTCTAAGGAACCTTGAGAACACTATGGCCTGAATTATGAAGCAGCGTACTCTAAGAGCCTGCAGATGAGATGGATGATTTTGATCACACAGGATAGCATGTAAGACCCCACACTATGTAACATAACCCCCTGGATACACACTGTGGTTCCGTCTACAGCTGGCTATATCTTTTGGTAAATTATTTACCTTCTCTGGGTTCTCAGTGTCCTAATTTATTAACTTAGGTTAATATGATATTATCTCACAGACTTTTTTTAAAAATCACTTTACTGAGGTATGATTGATACACAAAAAGCTGTGTATATTTAATGCATACAATTTGATGAGTTTGGAGATGACTACACATTTGTGAAACCATTAGCATAATGTATGGCATAAACATACCCATCACCTCTAAAAGTTTCCTCCCATTCTCTTTATTTATTATGACCATTATTAGTATTGCTAATCATTTTTCTTACAAACTTGTTATGATGATTAAACGAGTTACTATATGAAAAGCACTAGAACACAGCCTGACACATAAGAAATACCATGTTAAATATTAGCCATTATTATATAACTTTTATAAATTTAGTGTTTGACGGGGCACCTGGGTGGCTCAGTTGGTTAAGCATCCAACTTTGGCTCAGGTCATGATCTCACGGTTTGTGAGTTCGAGCCCTTCCTTGGGCTCTGTGTTGACAACTCAGAGCCTGGAGCCTCCTTCGGATTCTGTGTCTCCCCCCTCTCTGCCACTCCCATGCTCATGCTCTGTCTCTCTTTATCTCTCAATAATGAAAACATTAAAAAATAATAAATAAATAAATTTAGTGTATCATATTTACATTGCATTTTCTGTTAAACTTTAAAATCTATCTTAAGGGGAATGAGACTTATTTCACATTCAGATATTTTTGAAAGTGGAAACATGGGAATATGTCCTGTCTTACTAGGGAGAAACTGGTATAACTGACCAGTGTATTAAGATGACATACTAGACAACATGTAATTCAGGAATAAATTAAGGATAGCCTGAAACAGCACACATTCTGTAGGATTATAGAACAAAAGACTAGTCACTACTGGAATAATCTGAGAAGGTTTCATGGACAAGGTACTAGTTGTCCAGCATCTCAAGGGATATGTAGAGTTGAAAGTTAGATCAGACTCCCCCCTTGATTCCAGTAATGTTTTGATTCTTTGGGAGCATTTCTGATGGTTAAATAGATAAAGGAGGAAGGAATGTATATTGAGAAAGTTATCTACTCAGAAGAGGATTCCTCTGGGAAGAACAGAGGTGGGGCGGATGAAGCTTGATAAAGACAATCAGATTATAAAGTCCTCAAAAGTAAGAGGTAAGAAGTGGCAAGTCAAAGACAATTATTGAACAGAGAAATGATGTGCCCTCATTTAGATGACCAAATGCCTCTTATATCTGCAGTGGAGAACAAGTTGTTTACCATAAAATTGTAGAAAGAAGTTTAATTATTAGAACATACTATATAACATCTAAAAGTGAGAAAATTAGCCTGGCAGAGATATGCAGGCAGAATAATGAGGTCTAGCTCACTGCTCAGAGATTAGTGGCTTCAGATCTACTTTCCATATTAGTTCACAATCTCTTGACTTGGAAGAGGACATAAGTCAATGTAGGCAGGCTTCTCATATCTAAGATTCTGCTCTTTAAAAGTCTGGGTGTGTCAGTTGAAGTCAGAAAATGTGGAGGGATGGAACTCTGCAGACAATCTTTATTTCCCTGTGGCCAAGACCTGAAGGAGCTTTTCTTCACCCAATATACAGTTTTTTTTCCTTTGCTTTAGGTAGTAGTAGGGACTATTTGTAAACCGTCTAAGCAATGACACATCAAACACAGGCTTTAGCAGAATCACGTGTTTCCAACCTTCATCTTTTCTGGACCACTCTCTGCTCCTCCTGTCTCCCAACCCAGTCCCACCAACATAGCAATCATTGTGCTTGTTGTGCAGCAGCCCACTTCAAAGAAAGGCATCTCACTCAGATCATAATGGGATAGCCTGAGGGGGCTATTTTTGGGGCCATGTGCACCCACCTACTTAGGATGGAGTTAACTGGACCAAGGGTGAGCAGTTAGAGTATAAAGCTGCTTCCTGCTGCTTGGATCCCAGAGCTATCTTGAACTCTGAAGGACCTTCCAGGCTCTGTGCCAGAAGACCTGCTCTTCCTGAGGTTGGTTGTTTGCCAACCTGAGAGTCTCTTATCCTTAAAATCATGCATCTGAAACACTTATGCAAATCTTTAAACTATCGTCTTTGGCCACAGATTATTGTCAAGCAATATTTATAGTTTTCTAAGTGGACATTAACAGATGCTTCTTTCAGAGATAAATTTTACTACCAGAGAGCATTTTACAAGACTCAAAAAAACCTACTGGACTCCACTAAAGAATCCCTTATGGTAGAATTTCAGAAACAAACTAGGTAGCAGAAACGTATTTTTTTTTTGGCAAGGGCTCTGCCTGGTGTTCCTTAATGGTATCATATAATTTCCTATATTAAATGTTGAAAAACTCTAGACCAGGGGGTTAAGGTCCTAGCTATGGGCCCTAATTCTAGCTCTGTTTCTTACTACTTTTTTATTGTAGGCAAGATCTTTAATTCTTTGAATCTCAGTTTCCTTACTTGTATATTTATTGTCAGAATAAATGAAGTATAAGGTCTCTCCCAGCTCTAGCAATCTATAATTCTACCATATTGGTTCTACTTAACCACAAGAGTAGCCTATCTATTAAAGTTCATTAAAGAGAGATTCTTTGCAAAAGTGAAATTCTTTATGTAGGATGGCCCAGTTAGCTCTCAATGTTCCCTTGTAATAGAGTCCTCACTATACATTCTGAAAGGGGGAGAGAAAAAGTAATAATTGGCTGTGAAAGAATTTATTTTAAATACTGTTTTGCTCAAAAGGACAAAGCATACATCCATTAAAAAGACTATAATCTGTGTTTACAAATTTCTGGTTAAAAGAATTAGAACAATTAAAAAGTAGACTCAATATTAATTCCTTAATATTGAGGAGTATTTTTCTACTTAAAAAAGTGTATTTTTCTACTTAAACTCTTTGATAATAATTATGCTAACATTTATTGAACACCTAGAGTTTGCTAGCAATTATGCTATCCATTCAAAAATTGAAGTTCAAAGGAATCTTCTATTATAAAATGCACCACCCTTTTGACAAGGATTTTGAGTATAATTAGTATTCACTGTATTCTGCCCTGACTCTTACTTTGATGTATATTAGTGTTTTCTCATACTTGCTTAATAAAAAATAGCATTAAAATAGAAGATAGTTACCAAATACTCCAGTATTTGTATTGTCTTAGAGTTGAAAGTAGAGAGTCCATATCTCATCATAAATCTCTTTTTCCAAATAGTTTTCCTGTACATAGTTCAAGTAGAACAACCAATCTATTTATGTCAGCCCTTGCTCTTTTTAGTGACCTCTTTTTGGGCAATGTATTAGATGAAGAGGCTGGTTAGCAAATAATAGCATGGTACAGAAACACTGACTAAGGTCTTCTCCTAGACATTCACATTGCTCCCTTTCTATCCCCTGGGAAAGAAGACACAAGCCGGTTCTAGAAATGACAACTTTATAGCACTGACTGTTCACCCTGAAATCATCTCAAATATGCAACATATCTGTACACACGAATAAATGCATACTCATTCATTCACAGGTTATCTTACTTGGTAAAATGACTTGTTGCTTCTAGGTCTGTATCTTGTGGACGAAGATTATTATGCACATATTTCAGGTCTTGAATTCCACTCAGCTCAGGCAACCCTGCATGTAACATCTTAGCAAATAAAACAAAAGCAAAAAGAACTCAGAATAAATGTAAATCAAGTCTTAGTTAAATTTGGTTAAGCTTACTTGGTTAATTCTACAAATACATGTAAACTTAAACTTATATAGCAACACCTTTCAGTATATAATTATGAATGGACAGAAGTTCATGATTTTTTAACTTTCTGTATTTACTAATAGACGCAACAAAACAACAACAATAAGAAGAACAAATAAATTTGTCAAAGTGTTTGCAGATTAAAAATTTAATTTTATCGAGGTGCCTGGGTGGCTCAGTCGGTTAAGCACCAGACTTTTACTCAAGTCATGATTTGTGGTCCACGAGTTCGAGCCCTGCTCAGGGCTGACAGCTATGCTGACAGCTCAGAGCCTGGAGCCTGCTTCAGATTCTGTGTCTCCCTCTCTCTCTGCCCCTCCCCTGATAGTTCTCTCTCTCAAAAACAAATGAAACATTGAAAAATAATAATAATAATTTAATTTTATCTTCATCGTTAACCAGTGAAATAAGTATGATAGTATTATTATCCCTACCTTGTCTTCTTGCAGAAGAGACATAGTCAGCATTGGACAATAGAATGATAAGGCTTCTAGTATCAGAAATTCTGGACCCACCATTTAAAATCTGAATGATCATGAAAAAGTCTCTTAACCTTTTCGAATATCCGTTTTCTCATTTTGAAAGTGGAGAGGAGAATACATAACATGTTCTAGAGCAATCAAATGGCTAATGAATATGAAAGAGCTTTATACATTATAAATTACTACACAAAAATATACCACAATACCCATTTGAAAGAAGAAAAATTTAATCCCAAGAAAAGTGTAAGTGAAGTGTTGAGATCAAATGGTGTGTAAGCACAGAGTATAAAACTCATCCCTCTGGCTCTTAATCTTATGTTCTTTTATGACTCTATGACTCATACTCTAAGAACACAATTTTCCTTATTTAAGTGGAGATTACATTTATTAAAGATTATGGAAGCAATGCAGTAATTAAAGATAAAACTGTACAAAGGCTCATATGTTTTTCTGCCAACCTTTGAAAAAGTACTGTGTTTATATTATAGTGTAGACTGAAGGGATACTATTCTTTTTAATTATAAGCAGAAATAAAGAAAATATTTTTTGAGAAAAAGTAGGTCTTTCTGAAATAAATTTAAACTTTGAAAAAGGAGGAAGGGCAGGAGGAGGAGGTGGAGAAGGAGGAGAATGTCAACAGTACGTCCGTGACTAAGATGATAAATTATTTCCTGCTCTGGAATAGAGGCACTTTTACAGTAGTGGGAAGTTAAGAAAAATGCTGCTAATTCTAAAAATGTAAAGGAAAAAATGAGAATATGGTTATGAAGGATGGGTAAATTTGTGATTGACTTGTTGAGGTTCAAGTGAGAAAAAAATGGATGTGAAACTGTTCTTTCCTACCGTCTCCACTGAGGCAGAGGGAACAGCGTGTAAAGATGTACTGAGGAGGGCAAAGTGTCTTTCATTATTTCACAAAAAGACCAGGAGAGCATCTGGAATAAGATATCCTGTGAGTAGGTGACAAGTTAAGGGTCTGAAAAGGTAAGTAGGGTAGGATTTTTTAGCGATATAAAAGTTACGTACTTTATTCTAGAGGCAAGAGGAAGCTTTTTTAGTGTTTTTCAAATGGGCATTAAAATAATTGAATTGTGTTTTTAAAAGATCATTGTGGTTATTTGGGGAAAATGGATTAAAGTGAGTCTAAATAAGAGACTGGACTAGGAGAATGTTTATGAATAATGAATAAAGTTATTGGACTTTAAATGTATTTAGGAAGTAGAGTTGAGAAAATTGGGTGATTAATTGGATATATTTGGAGGGCTGGGTGGGATCTAAAGTATATAGCTGTAAATATAGATTTGCGAGTCATTAACATGTAGATAGTAATTGAAACCTTGAAATGGGTCAGGTAGCCCTGGAAAGTTGTTAACGGCTTCTCCTTAGGGATGATCTAAATTAACAATATCTAAAGTTGAGTAAATTCTCTTCTCCCATAAACTCTTCCTTCTTTTTTCTCTTCATCTCCAGTGTAACCATCGTCCAACTAAAAAGAAATTCATATCTTCCTTGATTCCCTCTTCTAACTGATTCTCAATGTCAGTTATACAATTTTATAAAAACCATCTCAGTGGTCTCTTGTATTCATTCTCCTTTCTATTGCTATTATTGTCTTAGTTCAGCTCCTCATCTTTATTTGCTTAGATAACATTTCCTACTTCTCCAATCCCTCTTTTTTTTTTTTATTACATAGCCTCTAAATTATCAGTTTAAAATCAAAGCTAAATTATGCTACTGTCTTCATCAAAAGCAAAGAAACTTCGAGGTTCTCAGGTATCTGTATATCAAAGTCCAAAATTCTCATTCTGATCATAAATGTCTTTTGTTATCTGTGGTCTGTCACTTCATCTATTGTCTACATAGGTCTCCCTCTGTACCACAGACTAAGTACATTTGATGACCTCTATTTCCAACGCATGTTATGCTCATGTTCTTTGAGCTTTCACACATACTTATACTTTGCTCTCAGTCAGGATTCTCTTCCTATCCCTCTGTATCTGTTGAAATTATTTTTGAAAGCTTAAATATCTTTTCCTCTTGAAACACCACAGATCCTTTTGATAAGATTTAATTACAGCTTTCTTTGTATAGCAATCCTATCTTGGTTGCACCTCTTTCAAGTATTTATTTATTTTTATTTTATTTTATTTTTTTAATTTTATTTCTAGGAGAGAGAGAGACAGCGTGAGCAGGGGAGGGTCAGAGAGAGAGGGAGTCACAGACTGAAACAGGCTCCAGGCTCCGAGCTGGCAGTCAGCACAGAGCCCGACATGGGGCCCGAACCCACGAACCATGAGATCATGACCTAAGCGAAAGTCGGACACTTAACCGACTAAGCCACCCAGGCGCCCCTCTTTCAAGTATTTATTGCTGCCTCATGTTTACTATGTTTTGTTCATATATATGTTTGTCATATTCAATTTTAAGAACTTTGAGGATAAGAACTGAGTTTTTATGGATGTTAAATTTTTCATATTGCCAACCATGATGCCTTGCAAATGGAACTTAACAGATGTCTATGAAATAATGCATGTTGCAGGCATGTGTGCATGAATGAATAAATGAATGAATGAAAAAAATGTCTGACCTTGTTGGGCACTGGAAGCCTATAAATAGCAAGTTCTACCCCAACTACTAAACTTGAAATCAACAATAGAGAGATATATTCTCAACAGCAACTTAAGTATAGAGTAGACTTTATCTTTTTCAGTTCTGTACTTAGAGTTCTACACACATTTGTATACTTATTGAGACAGGTTCCCCTTTATCAGTCTATGATTCTCTATTTGCTAATAGCCTTTCTCCCTAGATCTAAATTGCTTCCTGATTTCTCTAGATACTTGGAATTCACACCTGCTTGCTGTCAACTCTGTCAAACATTTTCTTGGGAAGTTCACCCTATACTGAATTCTTCTTCTCTCTCCCCACCCCCATTATGCACCAACAGCCAAGTGCAGGTGGCTTCAAAGTAGATGAACCCAGCTCTCTCCTTGTTATGTGGCTGATTAAAGGTAAGAAGTGAGAACTTTGCCCTTGTTGATGTGCTCTGTTCCTCAGAGAGGAGACTTTGAGTATTGTGACCCTGCCATTGGAGTAAGGATGACCCCATAACAAGGTCCATTTAGCCATGTCTGTTCTCTGACCCTCAGAGATGCGATTCAAGTACCTCTTAGCCTAGATTACATGGGTAATAACTAATTGAGGCAAGGAAAGGGAAAGGGTGGCTAGACTAGTATTGGTAATGAGCAGATACAGATGATAAACAAATGAGTTCCTCTTTAAAGGACAAAAAAAACTTTTAAATTTTTTACTTCTATCCTCCTAAGTCCAAATCTATTTTGATAGTTGTGCTTAGTGAAGTAGACTCTTTGCCACCTCATAGAGCAGTTAGAAAGATTTCTTCTGGGAAATATCTGATATAATAATGGGTGTGATAAACATTTTAAACTGGGTGAATGGTCCCTATGTTCTTTGGGAACCTTCCATAATAGCTGATATTGATTTTTTAATGAGAGAAAAGCTGATGAAATACAGGCTTTTATGTTAGTGACTTCAGCCAGCAACACTCTTGGGTCTCCTACAGATGTTTTGCTTTTAAGTAAGATGGGAATTTCATGGATTATTTTTTCCCCCGATTTTCCCAGGAGCAAATAAAAAGGACTGTGGATATCTGGAAATATGCTGCTCTCAACAAGGGATGAGCCATTAACTCCATAGTAGGCTTACCAGACACTTGTGGCTCATAATCCTGGATACTGACTATTCTTGGAAATAGAATTTATGACCCATGTCAATTATTTCTCAAGTTGTAACTGGGTCATGGGGTAGTAGATTGAATTCTTTTAAAAGAAGTTAATACAACAAGAGTCCGTTTCAGAGAGGATTGAGGGAAATACTGAGTATTCACATGGGCAGAAAATAATCTTTCATGAATTCATTTTTATTTTATAAGAAGCTATGCCAGAGAAAGTGTGGTCCTGAAATCTCTACTGATACTTTGATTATCTACAGAATTCCATAAGAAAGAAACCTCACGGGCACGTGGGTGGCTTAGTCGGTTAAGTGTCCGACTTTGGCTCAGGTCATGATCTCATGGTTTGTGGGTTCGAGCCCCGTGTCAGGTTCTGTGCTGACAGCTGAGAGCCTGAAGCCTGCTTCAGATTCTGTCTCCTCTCTCTGCCCCTCCCCGACTCACGCTCTGTCTCTCTCTGTCTCAAAAATAAATAAACATTAAAAGAAAGAAAGGAAAAAACCTCAAAAGCAGAGAATGAAGAGATAAATGACCAGAAGCAGAGGTAATAACATATCGCTGTTTCATATGTATTTATTCATTGATCTAATTGGTCCATAATGCTTCTGTTCTTTTTTAATTTCTGTGAGAGTCTAAATCTAAGATTATTTGCTTAATCTGAATTTTACTCTGTACTGCCAAAATTTCCTTCTCAGCTTAAAAGTCAAGACCTGGAAAATTAAAACATACAGAGATTGTTTGGATATATTATGTAACAGAAATCTTCAACATTTGATTTTAATACTATATTATGAAAAATTGCTCAGTACTTGATTCAAACATCATCTATCTACGGCTTTTAAATGAAATAACATTTCATAAACTCTCTAATAAGTTTTTCATATATTATGTGCTGAAAGTTTTCTTTTCAGGTAAGTAGAATAGTTTCTTAAGCAAGAGAAAAAAGCCTACCAAGAGCTTTCTCAATCAATTTTTTCAAAAGACTGTCCTTTCACATTATTTTAACATTATAACTTTTGTTATTCAGCATAATTTAGTGTCACTTGAGAAACAGCATCATCTATATTTTGTGCTTTTCTATTTTGGGTTTATTTTTAAAATGTCTGCTGCTAGTTCAATAGTTGTTAGAATATGGTACTTACTCCTTGTATGCAGCTATTTATAACATTATAGACATTTAGATATGATGGATACCTCATTTATTGTATACACAAATTTTATCTTCCTTATCATATTGAAAATTTAAAGTTGACTGTGTCTGACCTGTAAATGTATCCTCACAATTTCTGGAGTATAGTAAGTACTCATGACCTCATGGATTCATGGCTATTATTGAAATAGCCAACTTGAAAATTCTATACTTGGACAAAACTTTATATATCCAGTTTACACATAAAGAAACCAAAGTGTCCTTATACACGAAAGGCTATATGTTTATAATATTTTTTAAATATCTATTTTTTTAAGACAGAGTAAGGTCCATTTGTTGTTTGAAAGTTAAAACAAGGATCCAATCAAGTCTTCACTGCAACAAGGTCAATATTTTGTTTTTTTTAAATGTTTTATTTATTTCTAGGAGAGAGACAGCGTGAGCAGGGGAGGGACAGAGAGAGAGGGAGTCACAGACTGAAACAGGCTCCAGGCTCCGAGCTGGCAGTCAGCACAGAGCCCGACGCGGGGCTCGAACCCACAAACCGCGAGATCATGACCTAAGCGAAAGTCGGAAAGTCGGAAGCTTAACTGACTAAGCCACCCAGGTGCCCCAACAAGGTCAATATTTATTCAGTACTACCCAATAGAACTTTTCTGCAATGATGGAAACTTTTATTATCTATGTTGTACTATATGGTATCACTAAGCCACATGTGGCTATTGAGCACTTGAAATGTGGTTAGTGAGATTGAGGAGATGAATTTTAAAGTTTAGTCAATACTAATTAATTTAAATGTAAATAACCACAAGTGAATAGGGGGTACTGTATTGGACAGTCTCCTTTTGGATTAACAAAGATCTAGTATAATAAATTAATTGAACTCTATTATATGACAGGTACTGTGCTGAGTGCTTTATATTAATTATAGAATGAGGTTATTATGAAATATAAATCAATTAGTACACATAAAGCACTTAGTATAATGTTCATGGAAAACATTCACTATTAGGTCATTTATTCATCAACCCTGCAAGATAGATGTTATTTTCACTTAATAAATAGCTTTTCACTTAATGAGAAATAGATCTTATTGGAATTAAGTAACAGCATCAGGTAGAATTACTGTCATCTGAAGATTCTAAACCAGCTATTTTTAATGATTGTATTGACTCCAAGTACCATATTGATTTACCAAAGGTGTTTCTCTCCTATATTTTGCTGCAGTTATTAGTGTGTATGTATATGCCCAAAGGAACCACCTCCTCCTTCTCCCAGAAATAGTTCTATTGAATCCCTTTCCTCTCTCCCTGTTTATCTACTGTCCATCTCTTTAGCATTGGACAGTGAAACAAAGCTTAAATTTTCCACTTAAGTCAACAGACAATATATAGGAGCATGACTCAGTAGACCCAATGTATACAGTAAATGTACTGTTCTCTGGCTGAGTTGCTAGCAAGTTGTCTTATATTCTTGACCCCTAATTTATTTATTTTTTAATTTATTTCTGAGAGAGAGAGAGAGAGAGAGAGAGAAAGAGAGGCAGCGTGAGTGGGGAGGATCAGAGAGAGAGGGAGACACAGAATCTGAAGCAGCCTCCAGGCTCTGAGCTAGCTGTCAGCACAGAGCCCAACACGGGGCTCGAACCCAGGAACCATGAGATCAGTACCTGAGCTGAAGTCAGATGCTTAACCGACTGAGCCACTCAGGCGCCCCAACCCCTAATTTCTTAAACTGAAAAATAGGCAAGTGATCAAAGGCAGAGATTGGGAGGGGAGCCAGGAAAAATCCTTGCTTGGTCTACATGATTGGTTTGTTATAATGTGTATATGAGATAGTACTTTTTAAAGTACTTCTGAAAAATCCTAAAGCATAATAACAACTGATACAATAATCTAAATTATTGTCCTTAATCTTTAATCAAAATATACTGAGATTAACTCCTGAATACCTCAATATTATTATGAATAGAAATGTTTGAGACAATAACTGTGAATTAATGTAATAAATTATTAAGAAATGTGTTTATAAGCTGTACAGTGGTACTTTTAGTTTGCTCATTCCTTTCTGGTTTGAATAGCTCTTTGGGGAAATCCAAGCCATTAGCAAAAATAGACTACTTGAAGAGAGACATAAATGAAGCTTATTATTTTTGTTGTTTCCTCAAGGGGCTTACCATTTCTAGGAGGTTCAAGAGCAGTCGACTGTGCCTTCTGACAATATTATATGCTCTACAGCAAAGCTCCACAAAATCTTGGAAATGCTGTGGGTTTTTCCCACCTTCTGTAATAAAGTACTCCATCTCGGAAGTGAAAATAAAAGGCGCTCGGTCCCTACAAATGAAAAACAATAGCAACCATAAGCAGGAAGGTAAATGGTGTGTAGAGTTTAATTAGGCAGTTACAACAACTTATTTTCATTTGATTTTGTTTTTGTTGTTGTTATTTTGTCTCTACTCTATGGAATGGGGCCATCTCCTTTATGGGGTAGCTGGAGAAACTTGCTAATTATAGGCTTTGGATAGCCCGCTGGGCTGCAACAGAGAAGGAAGAACATTGATCTCTATGGTCTCAAATATTTAATTCCAAGTTATATTTGATGGAAATATTATCCATTAACAATTATGGTAAGGCCAAATAGTAATGAAAGTGATTCCACAGAAAATATATTCCTAAATTAAGAAAAAAATAAGACAGATCATGTATTTGACTTCATGGTGGGTTTTTTTTATTTCTTTCTTTTTTTTTTTCTTAGAAGATATTGACTCTTTAGGGAAAAAGTTTCAGGTAATAATAAATTATTTCAGAAGGTAATCTAAGAAAAAAAATTAATGTTACCAATTTACCATCGTATGCTTAGTAAGGGAAAAAAGAGGCAGCTGCATTTTATTTCACACTAGGCCAAATAAAAATACTGATCAGAAAGGAGGAAATATGAGCAAACCATGTTGGTATGTATATAATATCACCCCCTGTAGTCTCAAGGTTGAAAAAACAGGAAAACAGAGGACCAGAGAGATGATCCTGTTTTCTTTATTTTTGTCTTTTTTTTCCCTCATGTTATTTGAGACATAGAGATCTCAGATGAAGCATTAGCATTTCTAAGAGATCAGCAGAGAAGGGATTGGAAGCACTTCTCTGGGATGTGAAAAACAGCAATGAGACAAAGAATTTTGATACTGATTTGGCCTAAGTTCATCTAGAAACATTTGAGATAGGAATCTAGTTTTGGGTAAAACCTTGTTTTAAAAGAAAAGATTTTTGAATGAGTTGAAATAAAATATATTTTAAAATTTAAGCCTAGCAGCCTAGATATAATTAAGGTTAGTCTAAGCAATAACTGAAAAAAAAAAAAAAATCAAGGACTAGTGAGAAAGTTTTTTTTTTTTTAAATAAAGAATGATTATGTTCCTTATTTTTGCTATTCTTAGCATTTGAATAAATATATAATAGAGTGGAAAATTTTGCTAATCTGAGTTAGACCTCTCAGATGTGTGGATATTCAAATCAAAAAGCTACATGCCAGGCATTTTGTAGCTGAAATGGAGAAGTAGTATCTAAGCACAGGCAAAGTGTTTTAAAGAAAATAAATAATCTACTTCTATTTGGCTACAGTTATTTTATTTTATTATTTTATTTTATTTTTATTTTGTGATCCATTCTACCACTGAATGTCTGGAGGAGAGGCTAGTATAACAATATCTCCACTTAACTTTGTATTCATTCATTCATTCATTTATTCATTCATTCAACAAAATTTATTGAGCACCTAGATACTGAGGAATGTGTCTTAAGAATCAAGTACAAATTTTAAAATTTTTGCCTAAAATCTTTTATCTTGGCCCTCATTGACTTATCCAACATATATGCTTTGAGTTTACTTTATAGCCTTTTATTTTAGTCAAGCTGGAAGTAGAGCTATTGAAAACAGGAGGTATACCACGGGTTCTAATCCTGGACCTGTTATATCTCAATTTTCTCATCTCTGAGATGGGTAAATAATATTGAGCTCTTAGAATTGCTGTGAAGATTAACTGAAGAAGTGTACAAAATGCCTGATACACAGAGAATTCTACACATTTGGGAATTGCTATGGTTAGAGGCTCTATGCAGAAGGCACAGGCTGCACGTTCTGAATCATATTCTAACACTTACTAGTTCTGGGACTCTGAGCAAGTTACTTGTCCTTTCCATGCCTTAATTTCCTCCTCTGTAAAACAGAGACAAAGGACACTTGACTCCTGTCATTCTTGAGAGGATTAATGGGTTAAAGCATATAAAAGGGCTAGGGCACAGCCTGGCACATAGTAAGCACTCAACTAATGTTAAATACTATTGTTAGTCCTCAAACTAATAAAAAATATGTTCTCAGAGCTAAATCTTGTCACAACTAAGTTTCTCTTTCTCTTCAAAAATGCCACCAGTCTGGGTGGATCAGACAGCTGAGCTTCCACCTCTTGATTTTGGCTCAGGTCATGATCTCAGGGTCGTCAGATGGAGCTCCATAACAGGCTCCGTGATGACTGTAGAGCTTGCTTGAGATTCTCTTCCCATCTCTCCTCTGCCCCTTTCCCCCACTCATGCTCTCTCTCTTTGCCTCTCTTTTAAATTAAAAAATATATGCTACCAGTAAAACTCCAGCCTTCTTTCAAGGTTTAATTTACTATCAGCTGCTCCTTATAACCTCTTTGCATAAGTCCTTAAGTGGACCTTTGAATTTGGTAGAACTTGCTATATGTCACTCAGACAGGTAGTCATCACTATTGTTAACATTTTAGTAGCATCATAGCAATATCCCAGACTTCCATATTGGAAAAAAATTATAAATAAAAATTTTCCAAAATTTTCATAACTCCCTATACTATATTTGCTATATTGAATGGAATTTTTGAAATAATTTTAAGAGTCTTAAATTTTACAACTTCCTAAAATTTTCTTTTCTAATGTGATAGAGATGTTTTTTTCTTCCATATGCTTGACCAAATGGATTTCCCTTGGAAAGTTGTTGTAATTATGCTCAAGTTCATGTGATAACACATTTCCTTCTTCCATGGTAACCACCATTATAAATCAGAAGAAGAAACACCATAGCAGAAAGTCAAATACAAAAGAAGCATATCTAAGTTAGAGAAAATATAAATTAACAATAGTGTTGAAGGACCCAATTTTAGCTGTGTTTAAGTACTATCATAATCTAAATTTTCAGTGGGCCCAACAAAATAAAATGTTACATTTTTTTCTATATGATTTACATGTCACTTTTTTTTTTATTTCTGAGAGAGAGAGAAAGAGAGACAGCATGAGCAGGGGAGGGTCAGAGACAGAGGGAGATATAGAATCTGAAACAGGCTCCAGGCTCTGAGCTAGCTGTCAGCACAGAGCCCAACATGGGGCTTGAACCCACGAACTATGAGATCATGACCTGAGCCAAAGCCGGACACTTAACCTACTGAGCCACCCAGGCGCCCCTTGCATGACTCACTTCTGAGAAATTTTTAAAATAACTTAGGCTAAAATTTTTCTGTAAATGGAAAGAAGCCACACATGTGAAACAGAATCCTATCCCATCCTTACAAGCTGTAAAAATCGTAGCTGGGATGTGCTTTATCAATTCCCTCAAATGTGAACCGAATCCAAGGTCACAGAATTAATGTGTTGGAACCTGTGTCTGAATTTTAAGCAATACTTATAAATCTGAGATATAAATTGGTTATGGCAAGAGAGAAGATTGAAAACTACTTGATCTTCTAGAGCCCATACTGTTATTGCATTCTGAATCAATGCTGAAACTCTCACACTTATAGCTGGACAAATTTACCAGAAATTTATTGTGACTCTCCTGTTTCTATTCCCATATTAGTGGTTTTATCATTATTTACCTAAATCCTACCTGTTCTTGCTTCTGTGCCTTTTACTTATATTGTTTCCTGCTTCTGGCCATGTTTCTCTCTCTTTGTCTCTTACCTGATGCTCTATTTTTTTTTTTAACAAGTCTTCTCTAATTTACCCATACCTTGCTGATTTCTTTCTTACTTTGCCTTTTCTTTTAACTTGTGTCTACAGTTAATACATTTCATTCTTTTTAGTCTCTAGTAGTCTTATGATTTTCCCTCAAATAATCTGTGATTATCAAGAAGAGAGGCATTATTTGATCTTTCCTTTCTATATTCTTACTGTCTCTAACAATATTGAGATGGTATTCTGCAATGGATGCAACAGTAAAATACTTAGTTCGCACAGTGAAAAACTTGTGATAATTTAACATTTATGTGGGAAGGCTGTGTGAACCATCTTATTGGTTATAATTCTGTCATTTTGTTGTCCAAGTTAATCTTTTTATTAACTTATAATCAGTCCTTCTCTGAAAGTATTATTCTGTAAAATTGTGAGAATATTTTATACATTTCCCAATATAGGTGAGAAGTGAGTAGTACTTTAAAAATGTGTATAGACTTGAGAAATTTAAGGGCATTTCTATTACAAAAAAAATACTAATTATTAAAGAGAGAAATAATTTCTCATATGAGGGTTAATAATCTGCTGTTTATTATTACTTATGCACAGACTTACCCTTTAACCATTCTGTTACAACTACATTCTGTAGATGTAATCTCTCTGTATAAAGTCACTAGAATACTAAGATCATCATCAGTAATATGTTACAGTACAAAAAAAGTTACACATTTTTATTGTACTGAGGTTACATAAGGTTTTAGGACATGTCTCTCCATTAGGTGACTAGGGAGCCATGCACCCAAAATGTTAGAGTACTGTAGTTATTTATCAACAAATATTTATTGAGCATCTATAATAGATATGTATAAGGCTTATAGGTGAGGTTACAGATTTTAAAAATCAATATCCTAAAAGCAATACAAATGTATTAATAATAATGAAAATGTTTTGGAGATGAATTTGGAACAGGGAGGGTATGTGAGTAGATCAGACAAGAGATTTTGCAGAAGATTTTGATTAGATATGAACATAGCTCAGATTAGGTTTGTGGCATGCAAATTGTACAGAGAAGTGGAAAGACAAAAAATATTTTGAATCAAAAATCAAGAGGACTTCATATGGTTCAAAATGAGAAGGAGAAGAGTGTTAGGAACAGCTTTAAATTTTTGGCTTGTGTATTGAGAAAACTATAGTGCGACATTCCGAGTGGGTTCAGTTTTGAACAAGCTACATTTGAGGTGCCCTTGAGATATACAGGAGTAGGAATATATATATTCCATATATATGGAATATATATGACAGTGAGGAATTGTGATACTTATTTCCAACTATAAAGAAAAGATCTAGGCTGAAGGTAAAATTTTACGAGTCAGATTTCC